GGATTGGGTTGGCCCACACATTTTTAAATGTCAGGAGTGTGAAGAAAGAGCAGAGCATGAAGAATTTTGACAGCTGCCTTGGGAATGGCAGAAAGGAAGCCCAGCTGTAATTGGTCGCCCGAGTTAGCATTTGAAGTGGCCTAACGCAGACTACCTCAGCAGGGGGCCTTTGAAATGGCTGGAGCCCCAGCAGGAGGCACCTTGCCTCCACTCCACCTGAACCAGCCCCCTTCATAGGGTTGGGAAGGCTCTGCTTGCTTTTTATTTTCTAGCGTTCAGACGCTGTTGGCTCTTCAGTCAATTTTAGTTATTTGTAAGCTGTTGTGCTGTGTGTTCTCTTAGAGAGTAACGGCCCTTTGCTCCCTTTGTGGCATATTCAGTCATCCCAGAAGCTTTGCTGCGGAAAGTCATTGCAATTTAGCTTTAAGGAGTGGGTCCCCCGTCCCCCCTCCTCCAATAAGGTGACACAACCTAAAAATGCTACCATTAAAACGAGAGAGCCAGCACTACACAAAGGAACAGCTCTTTAAGGAGAGGTGCAATGAGAAATGCACTGCTTAAAATGTGAGGGAGGTGACTTGCTTAATCCTCATCTTTTTGCAATCAGTTCTTTTTTTCTCGGTGTGTTTTAGCAAAAGAGCCCAAGGAATATTTCCTGGGTGATTAATGTGATAATTTTCTTTATGCCTTTTGATAGTTATCATTCTGCTTGACATTTATTAGCTGTTTTTCAGAATCATACCTAATATATTTAAGGCAGTTAAAACAGTTAGTTGAAGGGCAGTATCATTAGACTTAAAGTGATTCGACCTAAATTATAAAGTCGGGATTTCCACACAAATCAGTAGTAGAAGCGCAGTAAGGCTTTTCGTCATTCAGTGAGACATATTACATATATGGAGAGAGCAAGCCCAGCAGCAGAAGTAAAGCCCTCAGTTCAGAAAGAGTGTTTTGTACTTTCTTTTCTAGTCTTGGGTGGGTGCACTTCTGAGGAAATAATTCTAGTTACTGTTCTTGGAATTTGGTAGCAAGCAAAGTGGTATTTGGGGTTTTATTGGTCAGAAATTCTTATGCATACAGTTCAGGTCCATACTGCTAATGCCTAATTCCTTCCCCCATAATGCTAATTTAAAAACCACTTTGTTTCATTTGCATGGAAGCAACTTTGCTGAGCCTAGTTTTTCACTAAGATTCTCAAGTCTTAGTGAGTCCTAGACAATTGTATGTTTTCTAAGCTATTGCAGATCCCAGCCTCCTGCTAGACTAATCAGTGGAGAGGAAGATTTTTCAAGAAAGAAGTGCCTGGCTTGGTTTTATGAATATGCAGGTAATGAAATTCATGGAAAAAGATACCAGTCATGTGCATTTAAAAGTGGTCTTATTCTTTAAACATTATTTATTGCTGGCCTGTTATGTTTTAGTACTGTGTACCAGGATTAGGGTCAAGGCTAAAGGGTAATGGATCGGCTAAGAATTTAGAGCTATTTCAAGACTGGTTTTTCTTTAAATATGTATTAGGTAAGAAAGGAGAAACTTATTTACTGTTTGTGTATAAATATAGCAACAGCCAACATTAGACAAATTGAAAATGTATTCTGGGAAAGAGGTGGGTAAAACATTTTGTTTGTTTTGATTTTCAAGGCAGAGTTTCTCTAGTCCTGTCTGGAACTCATCAGTAAACCAGGCTGCCTTTGAATTCAGAGATCCACCTGCTCTGCTGGGATCTCCACATCCAGCTTCATAAAGCTTTTCTACTCAGTATTCTAGGAAATAATATGCAAAGCATTTTTCTGTTCAACATTCTCTATTTCTTCTGAACTAGAAACATTTTCTGAAGCTTTTGGGGTGGTGTGGCAAACAATTTAAATTTCAGAGATAATGCACATTTACCCTTTAATTTTAATTTTCACAACAAATACAATAAAAAAAACAGAATGATAATAATACTGTATATTAAGTAGTAGATCTTGAAGACACATAATTGACAGGATACAAAATCCAACCTTGAAAGTATCAGGAGAACCTTCTTGGAGAAGCAAGCTAACCTCAGCTGAGTCCAACAAATGGTTGATGAAAAGGCAAACCTGTGAACAAAAATACAAGTTCGGTGGACACACCTTAAATCTCAGCACTCAGAGGCAGGCGGATCTCTTCGAGTTGGAGGCCAGCCTGGTCTACAAGGAGAGTTCCAGGACAGTCAAGGCTGTTACACAGGAAAACCCTGTTTTGGTTGGGAGTGGGGTGGGGAGAGGACAGACACAACACCTTTGTTTCCCACTTATTGCTAATTTCTTCACAAGAATATATGACAGTTTTCCCCTGATATTAAAGCTATTTTTCCTCTTTCCTGTCTTCTACCTGCTTTTATCTTTTTCTGTCTTTTATCATTATCACTGTCAAAAGTATTGCTTAAAGTAAAAATACTTCGTAGTGATTGCCTTATATTTGTACTAGCCATGTTAAGGTCTAAAGTGTATCCTCTTAACTTACAAAGTTAACTGTATGGAAAGCTACACTCCTTTGAAAAGGGGGCAGCAACTTCACTATCAGCAGAATGATCCCAATTGTATAATGCAGAATAGAATCTTTCTAGATCTGGGGGAATAAATGCTATTACTGGTATCCCAAGACAACCACTAACCCAATTTAAATATAGAGAATTCATTTTTTTTACTGACCTCTATTTAAAGTGTTGACCCATTATTAAAAAATGCCAGCTATACATATACACTATAGAATCAAAAGGTTCTCATATTCACTTAAAAAGGTTACTAGATCCCATAAAGATTAATTTGTGTGTGTGTGTGTGTTTCTTTCTTTTTCTTTTTTTCTTTTTTTCTTTTTCCCCCTTTTAGGTCTTATTGAAACTTTCCTGGGTATTCTAAGATTTGAATTCAATATTTATTTCTATTCTGACATTTTTAATTGTCAGTAATTTGACAGTAATTATTAACTGTCATTGTTCCCTGGAACAATTGTGATAAGTATATCATTTTCCTTATAACCATCTGTTAAGTAAGAGATGTTATCCTCATTTTATGAATGAAAACTGAGGCTTAGATTAACTTGCCAGTGATGATACTGCCCAAGAGCCAGATTCCCACCCTAGTTGACCCTCAAGACAAAATTACAGAAATGGCAAATCATTTTTACTTCTGAAAAAATGTTAGTAAAGAACACTTGAGGTTATCTTCTCTCATTCAGTGAGTCATTTGATGAATATTTATTAAACACTTTTCTGTGAATCTAGCACTGGGATAGTACTTGGGATATAAATGAAAAAAATCAGGACATGAGCTCTGCCTTCCAATTTGGCTTCTTGTGAGGAAGACCTACAGTAAACAGTATGTGTAGGGAAGGAAATTACAGCTAATGGAGGCTCATCTAAGTAATATGTGGAAGTACTAGTGTCTCAGACAGTCCTTAAGGAAGTGTCCACAGAAGCTATTTTGGCAGAAGCTTCTCTGTTAAGGAGATCAGTCATCCTTCGTGGTGGAGACAAAAGCTAGGCCCACTCAGAGTAAATGATACATGCAAAGCCTTAGCACACAGTACCTGATACATGTCAGAACTCAGTGTGTTAGGCAGTATGCTATTAACAACCTTCGAGCATCTTCAGGTGTGTATGCATGTGTGTTAACTAGTCTCTTGTATAGGTCTTTGTTAAGGCACTGTAACTAAGCATGTTTTGTTTTTTGTTTCCTGAGTATTTATTATGACATTGTATTAAACCTTGAACATGTACCTGGGAACATGTATATTTTAAAAATAAAATAGAGTGGTGTTTCCATGTACCCTCCTTAGAGACATGTGATCATGTATAGGTTCCTTACAATTCTCTGTAAATGCTATATAGAATTTGAATAGTGGTTAGAGGAAAAAAGCCGTGCGTGTTCAGTACAGAGGGTTCTTTATCTTCCAGATGCTCAGGTGCATTTTTTCTTCTCTTTCTTTTAGACAGGGCTCACTATGTGGCCATGGCTGGCCTGGAACTTGCTGTGTAGACCACATTGACTTTTTGTTGGTGGTAGTGATAGTTTTTCAAGGGCTACACGGGGTTTCTCTGTAGCCATAGGTGTACTAAAATATAACTCTGTAGACCAGGCTGGCTTCAAACCTGTAGAGCTCTGCCTGCCTCTGCCTCCTAAGTGTTGGAACTAAAGGCATGTGCCACTAAGCCTGACTATCTTGAGATATTTTTAGTGAGCAGCTTGTTGAATTCATGGATATACAACTTAATATATAGAAAGCCAGTTGTATATTAGCCCTCTATGGGGGAAAACAGAGCATTTTTTATCTGTCACAAAAATTTTAAAAAATATATAGAATTACATAGTCTAAGTGCAATAAGGTGAGCTAAATCATTTCCATGACTGCTTAATTTGAGTGGAAATCAAAGAGCTTGAAAGAATTAATTGAATTCAGTTACATTTTACCCAGTTGTAGTTATATGAGAAGACTATAGTATTATTGACATTTGTCAGAGAGTGTGTGAAGTTTGATATAGGCTTTGCT